TAATTGAAAAAAATTTATTGCCTGCTATGACTTATAGGTTGGGACAATTGATAAACCAAAAATTTATTTGATAGAGTCAAATCCAATGTGGCGTGTATCATAGAAAAAGATACTTTATCATTGTTTTATTACATTTAAAAGAACTACCATCCCTATCCAATAAATACGTGGCAGCCATCCTATCAAATTCAAAATGGGTTAATATTAAACAAAAAAAAAATGAGTAAAAATTTAATACGTACCTCACACATTTCTAGAGGGAGAAATTGAATTTAATTATCACTTATATAAATTCTATTTATTCTGTTTTCTTTCAATTGGTTCTAACTTAATGCGTTCTTATCTAGAATAACTTTATCTTGAGTCGAAAACTTCTAATTAATTATGACCTACAAAATAAGTCCAATATCGTTATACCAAAACTTTTTCCATCATTATCTAATTATTTGCCCTAACTAAAATAGAAATTAAAAACCTATTCCATTTTAGTTCCCAACTTTTTTAAAGAAAATATAACAAAACTAATAATATATATATATATTCTCCTTCTTCTTCTTCTTCTAAGGCCGAATATGGTCCAGAGTTTTACAGTGAACAATTTTGCTCGTCAAGTGTTGAATTTGAAATCTAGTTTCCATGTTTCCAAAAAAGTGAGAGTTTACGGTTAGAAAAATCAATGTAAGTTTTCAAACCAGTAAAGAGTTCTCTGTATAATGTTCAAATTGTGTTCAATTTCATTTATGCACATTCTTCTTCTTCTTCTTGTTGAATCCCTTTATTGAGTTTTTAAGTTTATTGATTTTGACTCTATGTTGAAGATTAAATTTTTTGATATAAAACAGTTTTTGCATGCTTCATCGTGAGGAGCATTTTTTTTCTTTTACCTACACAAATTCATATTTGTTTATTTCAATTAAGATCATATGAGAGTTTCTATCTTGTACAAGTATATAAACATTAACGGATTACAGTCGAACTTTAGGCTTCTCAATCTGAGCTCAATACCATAATCAATTTAAGGAGTCCTCTATTATTTGAGCTGAACTTTGAACAAGCTAT